GAGTGTAGGAAAGGCTGGGAGAGCTGATGAACCCACAGGAGATTAATGAAAGGGTCACGGAGTTGGGCTCAAGGGGGAAGGTAGACACTGTGAGTTTGTGGTAATTTTGGGGAGACAGGTCCAGGGCAGGGCAGGCATGTCACCCACCCTGAGGACCCTAAAAAATAAATTCCTCCCTCCTTGAGAGGGCCCTGGTTAGTTACCACCACCGGCTACGGCAGATTCGCCCTGGGGAGTCAGCGTGTAAGGCATCTGGGGGGAGCCTGGGGGCTGAGAACACGTGATGGGCTTTGCACTGAGCCCTCAGCCATTTGTTCACCATCTTTCCATCCTTCCATTCCTTTACCAACAGTCAGTACTCAGCGCCAGGCTGTGAGCTGGGTGCTGGGGAGGCGAATATGAGGGAAGCTGTGCCTTCCCTCAGGGCAATCTGCCGATCAGCATCTGTAGGGCATACTCTCCCCCCCCCGCATCCCCCCCCCCCCGCCTTATTGTGCCTCCAGCAGTCCTGTGAGTCCTGATCCAAACCCTGCTCTGGTGCAGCAGGTGGGCTGGAGGGAGGGGAGCAAGGGGGCGATCTGACCTCTGGGCAGACGTCAAGGTCAGGGAACAGCAAGTTTGCTATTGTAGGGTCTCAAACCTGCTTATTTTGGTAAACATTAACTGCCTTCCTTCCTGGGTTTGGTCCCCTTATTTCTCCCTAGGTTTTTGGCTAAAGTCCTGCTGAAATGTATAACCTATTTTGGCTGAGCCAAAGGAAACAAGAGACTGGAATTGAATGTGCAGACTGTTTGGGTCAGAGAGAAAGTCAGGCAGCAAACCCTGGCACAGATGCCATGGGCACAGGACCAAATGGAAGAGGAAAGCTCGGGCGGGTGGCACCTGGAGACCCACCCACACAGTGCTTTCCTCTTCGGAGGCTCATGTTTTAAGAATGGAAAGTGCTCTGTACAAGCGCCTGCACCTTTCCCTCCCAGCGTAGCTCTAATCTAGGGCAGGGGAGGCTGCTGATGGCTGCGCTTTCCTTTTCTCCAGCAGTGAGGCGCCCACTTAGAAACCGACCACAGAGCCTCCCAGAGGACATGGGGGTTCTGGTGCTGCAGGGGAGGCGGCAGGAGATGTGCCCTTCCCCAGGACGGCTCCCATGGCCTCTAGATGGTGCCCAGTGCGGAGGGTCAGCTCGGCACGGAGGAGACCTGTCCTCTGAGTGCACAGGATGCTGTAGCCGGGGAGCAGGGTGGGGCGGGGCGGGGCAGGGCGGGGCAGGGAGGGGCAGGGAGTGATGCTGAAGGAGAGAGGCACAAGCTCTGGCCACCCAGCCCTCCTTCCTACTCATTCCCCTCGCACTTTCTCTCTCCCATCCTGGAAATCGGGGTCTTTGTCTGTGGGATCGTCTGTGATCCCAGTTCCATCCACAACCTCGGGCTTGCCCCACAGAAGCCTGGGAACTGCCCAGCGCCCCGCTCCTCCCTGAAGGTACCGGCCAGGTGCTGGTGGGATGGCCCTGGAGCTCATGGCAGAGACAGGGTGGCCCTGGGACCTCCCAGAGCTGGGGGTGAAGAGCCCTTCAACCATAAAGGAAACTCCCTAAATGCAGCTCTCCGGGGAGGTGGGGGATCTGCCAGGAAGAGGGCCAGGGCTTTCCCATCCTGGCTCAGGCCCTGAGATCCCTCCGGAGCCTCTGCTCAGCGTGGCACGGGCCAGGTGGGAAGAGGGGTGCTGCTCCCCCTCTGACGTCTAGCTCAAGGCAGCAAGGATGGGCCCAGTCCTTTAGACTGGCCTGCACTGAAGCACTGAAGTCCCTGAAGGGGCAGCAGGGTCCCTGGAGGGAGGAGGACACAGCTTTGTCACTCTGCTCTTCCTCTTAAAAAAATAATATATATATTTTATTGATTTCAGAGAGGGAGAGAGAGAAATATCAATGATGAGAGAAAATCACTGATTGGCTGCCTCCTGCACGCCCCACACCGGGGACCAAGCCTGCAACCCGGGCACGTGCCCTGACTGGGGATTGAACCGTGACCTCCTGGTTCATGGGTCAGTGCTCAATCACGGAGCCACGCTGGCTAGGCACCCTGCTCTTCCTCTTGACCACAGACAGACTGTTCCCCTAGCCTGCTGGGGCCTCAGTCCTCACCTTGGACAGAAAGGTGTGTCTATCCCCTGGCAGCTGGCCCAGCAGACCCCAGGCAAGCAACGCAGTGAGGAAGGCGGGGCCTGTCCACCTGCCCCGATGTCCCCCAGGCCGTCTCTGCAGCCTCCCAGCTGGCTGTTCTGTCTGGCTCCTTGGTCTCCTGGGAGCACACCTGCAGCTGCACTCGCAGGATGACAATCCCGTCTCCCTTCCTCCTGACCACCTCGCCTTCTCTGGCTCTCCTCTGCCTCTGCCCCTTGCCCCTTGCCCCCTGGCTAACCAGCTGTGTAACGACCTGCCAGGGCTGCGTTGATGGATGACATGCCTTCCCCCCTCCGCTCTTCCTCCACCCCCCCTTCACTCCCCGCCCCTTTCCAGTCCTTTCTCCTCACCTCTCCCTCTGCCACGTATTCCATCATCAGGGAAGGGCCCACAGGGCAAGGCCGCTGGATGCGCTGTGGAGAAGGTGGGCTGGGGAGATAACAGGGCAGTGCCGGCAGCTCCTGCCAATGAGGGTTTCCTGGCCCCCTTGGGAACGCTGTACACCCGAAGGGGGACGCTCCCTGTCCGACTGGAGGGGCGGGGGGGGACAGGAGCGTGGAAGACGGCTGGGGCCTCGGAGCAGTCAGAACCGAGTTTGAATCTCAACTCGGACAGTTATCAGCATCAGGACCTGGGCGGTAAGCCTCAGCTTCCCCAGAATGGAAGGCGCAGCTATACGACCTCAGTGCCTTGCGTTCAGGGTTAGCTCAGTAAATGCTGGCTCCTGTCTCTGCTGTCGGGGTGCTGGGCCACCGTTCCCGGAAATCTCTCCCCTGCACCCGGGATTCCACCAACGCTAGCCCTTCCCTACAGGCTCTGTACCCGGCGCGCTCACACCCACGTGTCATGTGGTCCCTCCGCTTACAGTTAGGAAGCTGGAGGCAGAGAGGCTACCAGTGACCAGAGGATAGACGAGAGCTGAGGCAGAACCACGGAGCCAGAGTTCAGGCCCAGGCCCTGCGGACCGGCAGGAGCAGGCGGCTGAGCAAGGGGCCCAGAAACTCAGCTGGGCGAGAGCTTCGAAGGGGCCTGCGTGGGGCAGTGCCCTCCGCGTCCCCGGATCTGTCTCTCGCTTCAACAGTGTGTGCACGGAACAGACCCAGGGGCACCCCTTCTTCCAGCCTCCGACCCCCTCCAGCCTCTTTTCCAGTCACCACCTGGGGAACCAGCTCAGCCATCCTCAGCCTCCCAGACCAGCGACACCCGTTTTTGATCTTAAGTCCTACTGCCGAACAACCATGAGCTCCCAAACTCGTCAGAATTATTCCACGGAGGTGGAGGCCCCGTGGACCCCCTGGCTGACCTGCATCCGCGGCTCCCATACCTACCTCTCTCTGGGCTTCTGTTTGGACCGGAGGACGTGGCTCTGGAGGGTGCGGTCACTTCCGAGAGCACACGCTACAGCTCTGAGCATCGCTCAAAGATGCAAAACCAGCGCGGTGGCCGCATTCTCTCCAGGACGCGCTGAAGCCTCCCCAAGGTGAGTGGGCAAAACTCAGGACGCCATGGAAGCCGCCCTGGCCTTGGAGAGGAGCCTGAACCAGGCCCTTGTGGACCTGCCTGCCCCGGTTCTTCCCCCACGCAGACCCTCGTCTCTGTGACTTCCTGGGGAACCACTTCCTGGGTGAGGAGGTGAAACTCATCAGGAAGATGGGCGACACCTGACTCGCCTCCGCAGGCGCCGGCCCCCAGGCTGGGCGAGTGTCTCTTCTACAGGCTCACCCTCACCCTCAAGCACAGCTAGGAGCCTTTGGAGCCCAGAGGCCTGTGAGGGGCCCCTCTGCATCCCCTGGTGTCTGGCTTTTGCCTGAGCCTCTCCCTGAAACCCCTAGCCATCCTTTTAACCACCCTGAGCCCTCTCCCATGCTTGGACCACATGGACACAATAAAGCTTTTTGTAGCGCTCCCCCCCTTCCCCGCCAAAAAAAAGGGGGCCTGGTGGGCATGAGAACGGGCTCTGCTCCTGACCCTGTCACTCACTGGGTGACCGTGGGGAAGGCCTGTTCCCTCTGAGCCTCAGCTTCCTCTTCCTCATCCTGCAGGGGTGGGGCAGAGGGACTGCGTGCTCTGTGAGGTCTCTCTCTGCCTTGGACAGCCTGTTCCCTCCCCTGCAGAGGGGCCCGGCGCTGTGTATGCAGGTGGGCCTGCGGCTTAGGGCTGTGCATAAGGTGAACATCTAGTCCGCATTTCCCCCAACCTCCACTTCCTCTCTTCCCCACCCCCACCCCGTCGCTTGGGGCCTGTAATCAATGAGCCGTAAAATGGGAAAGTATCAGGAACTAGCAAAGCATGGAGAGCAGCTGGGGCCGGGGCAGCTCAGCTCCCGGTGGGATGGGCCGCCAGCCCGGCACCTTGGCCCAGGCTCCCACGTCCTCCCCAGACCATCAGTGACCCAGCTGGGCCCAGGCCCCCAGCTAAGGATCCGAGTGGGGAGGCCTACTTCCAACCAGTCCAAAGGCCTCACGTTAAAAAGAGTAATGGAATCTATGTGTATTGACGTGGAAAGGTGCAGCCAGGGTGTCTGAGTCATGAAGGCAGGTTAAACAATAAAGTGATCCCGTTAGGTTATTAATAGAAGTGTTTGCGTCTATAAAAATACGAGCGGGGAGATTCCGGACTGTGGAGAGTAGCTACCTCTGGGAGTAGTCAGAGGGGAAAATTCACTTTCTACTTTATGCACATTTCCTTTGTTGAACCCTTAAAAGAGGCATATATTTATAATATGCTTTAGTAACAAAAAGGAGATAATTTCATAATAAAATCACTTCCATTACTGGGTGGTGGGGGGAGCCTGGCAGAAACATGCACAGGCTAATGACAAATGCTGCTTGGGGCTGGGGCTTGATCGCTGTGGTGGGAAGGCCAGTGAGCTCTGCTGATCCGAAGCACTAGATCTCAAGTCAGCACACACAGTTTGGTTTTTAAAAAGCAAAAATCAATTCCTCAGTAGGTCTGGCTTGTCAGATCAAATCTATATGATCCTATATGATCCTGAAGGCAAAAGGGGAAGAACTGTAAAGAGGTCCTTGGTGTCCGCAGCCCAAGCCTGGACCCGAGGGGGGGCAGTCAGGGATGAAGGCCCATCCCTGGCATCATGCAGCTGAGAACCGAGCCCACATCAGCCCCGGGGTCCAGCCACGCTCCCCCAGAGCCACGCAGCTTCCCTCTGACCAGCCGGAGGCAGGCACCGTGGCCTGGGGGAGCCTTTAGGAATGACTCCCAGAAGCCCTTCGCTCCTTGCCTTCCAGCCCAGGCTGGCACACGCTGAGGAGGGGAAGGTGGGACGAGCCTGCGGTTCCAACCTGTATCACGGGGAGGTACAGTTAATGGTGGAGGGGGCGGCTGGGGAGGGGTCGAGGGCTGTGGAGGTCACTGGACTGTCGGATTCTGTCGGTGCTCAGGTGACGGATTCTATTTCCCGCCCCAGGAGTCAGCACGGGCTGAAGGATGCAGTGACACACACGTTTATTGTGGAGCTGCAGTGGAGTCCTCCCTCTCTCTGGGAAAGCCCAGGGCACAGCACCAACAGAGGGATAGACAGACCCCCAAAGGGACACATGGATGGTGCAGACTCAGAGACCATAGCGCAGCCACACAGGCACAGAGAGACACAGGCCACAGCACCAAGAAACACACACACACACACACATACAGACAAAGCCACAGGGCCAGAACACACGGACAAAGTGCAAGTTTTGGGGGCTCCTGCATAGACAGAGCGAGGGCCATGTGGAGAGGGGCCCCTGATGACCTCCCCCAGGCCTAGGCACACCAACAGCACACAGACAGGCAGATGCCCCAGCCAGCGGCCAGCCTGCCACACAGACAAATGAACTGCACGGAAAGGATGCTCATGGCTCCCCAGACCGCGGGGAGCTGGGACCCCCACCCCCCACTGCACTGATTCCCTGCTCAGCCCAACTCCCACCCCACTCCCCCCTTACTTTGGTCTTGCCCACTGGGGCTTGGGGCTGGGGAGTTGGCAGGTGGCAGGAGGGAGAGAGGAAGGGGTAAGGGCCCAGCTGAGAGCCTAGGGCTGAGCCAGGGCCTGGCAGTGGGGAGAGGGCAGGGCCAGCTCAGGCTTGGGGAGGCTCCTGGCAGCGCAGGCACTGGTCCATCTTGGACTGGTACTGCTCAACCTGCAGGGTACAGCTGGAGAATCCAAATCGGGAGTAGAGCCGGGATGTGGCTTCGGCCAGGACAGCATCTGGGTCCGCAGTGGAGTCTGTGGGAAAGTGATAAGAGACAGCAGGTCCCCAGGGGAGCCGGGAACCAGGCCGGGGCCAAGATAAGGACCAGTGAAGGAGGACCCAGGAGCGTGCACAGCATTCAGGCCAGGCTTCAATGGGAATCTTTATTTGCTTTCCGTGTTGTATGAAAAGCATAAAAACGCCAAAGAAAAGGCTGGACTCACCCCAAATCGACCAGGCTAACACACTAAACTGTTCTGATTTTTCTATTCTCTTCTGCTCTCTGAGTATCAGAATACAGCCCTTCAGCAGCCAGGCCACCCAATTTTCCGGGACAACCCAGATGTTAAATATTCTGTCCCACTGCCCCTCCGGAGCCATCAAATATCCCACAAAGTATAATATTTTTGGCATCCAAATTGCATGTCTCTGATTGCTTCCTGCATCTGGAAGAAACTCAAGAAATCCTTTGTCAGCTTGTGAGTCACCATATATATTTTTAATAGTTGAATCATAATGTAGAGATAATTTTATATTCAGCCTTTCCTTTTAGCATTATACCACAAACAGTTTCCCTAGTTGCCATACAGTCTTCATAGTCATCGTTTTTAGCAGATATGTGGTATCACTGAGTGGAGGTGCTGGATTTACTTAACTGTGCTTCATCACTACTAACTAGGTACTAGTGATCTTGTAAAGGGTTACTAGTTCCCTGCTCTACTTAGAGGGGGAGGGGGAGGGGGAGGGGGAGGGGGAGGGGGAGGGGGAGGGGGAGGGGAGGGGGAGGGGGAGGGGGAGGGGGAGGGGGAGGGGGAGGGGAGGGGGAGGGGGAGGGGGAGGGAGAGACCGAGACCGAGACAGCCTCAGTAATATCTACCTCTGTTTTGTGGGGGAATGCTTCTAGGAATCACTGGCTGGGGCCAGTGTGGACTCACCGATGGCCAGATGTGCAGAGGCAATGTGGTACGTGAGCGTCAAGGACCACATGCGTAGTTCATGAGTGGCCTGGACTCCTGGCACTGACAGCAGTGCATCCCTCACCGGCTCAAAGCCCACATTGCGGGGGGCACCTGCAAGCAGCATCCACCAAGCCTTACTACTGGGGCTATTCCTGCCCAGGGACAACCCCCACCAGACCCCCTCTCCCCCATTCTGTACCCCCTCAGCCTGTGACCCCACATCTCAGCCTGTGCCTGAACCCTCCTTCCAGCAAGAGGCCCATGGCCCCGGCCTTCTCCCCACACTCATCAGAGGAAAGAGAGGCGCCCCGTGCTGGAGTGAGGTCAGAGAGGGCCCAAAGGATGGGGAACAGTGGGTCTGATTCACCTTCCATGAGGACACGGAGAACATCTCGGAGGGTGGGAGCCGTGGACCCAAGGGCGCAGATAGAGAAGAGGAAGGTGCTGATGGGATCAGCTGCCTTGCACTGAGGCTGAGACAAAGAGAGACCCCCTAAGCCCGAAACCAGGGACCATTCTGAGGAAGATCTAGGGGTGTCCTAGGCCCCTGAGAACCCTGCTCAGGGGAAAGGGGTCAGGACCCCAGGTAGGGATTCTAGGGAGCCAGGAGCTGGAATGGGGGAAGGAGGCTGTGGGTCCTGGGAAGGCGGGGATGGGGGGTGGAGTTGGGGGAGGAAGGCTGGGGCAGGCCTGGTGGACAGTACCTTGAAGTAGATGAGGATGGAGGCAGCCAGCACCCCAAGGCTCTGCAGGAGGTCCCCCAGTACATGCACAAAGGCCGCCCGGACACTGGTGTTCCCCAGGGGCAGGTGCTCCCCGGGTCCCTCCTCCAGCGGTGCATACTCAGCCCCCCTAGACCCATGGCTGTGCTGGGGCCCAGCCTGGTGCAGCACAAAGGCCATTCTGAGGGGGAAGCAGAGCAGCTCAGCCCAGGGGGCCTGCTCCCAGCCTCCTCTGCCTATTTCCATACCTCCCCCTCTCTCCTCCCCCTCTCTCCTTCCCCTCTCTCCTTCCCCTCTCACCTCCCCATGAGCTCTTTCTCCACTATATTCTCCCTATGTTCCCAGCCCCAGGAAGAAGACAACATTGAGAAAAATAGTGCCGCCTGGGGGCAAGAATAGAGCAATAGAGCGCATGGTGCCAGAGATCTGCATTCAGATGCTGGCCCTGCTACTTAAATAGCCATGTGGCCTGGGTGGTTGTGAGCTTTTAATGAGATGATACTGATGACAGTCCCAGCAAGAGTGGCAGGCCTTTAACGAGTGTCTGTTGACTCTGAATTTTCAGCCTCCCCCAGTTGTCTCTCAGGCATTCCCAGGGCAGCCTGCTGAGAACCAGTGTTTTGCGTTGCCTGTCTGTCTGGGAGGGGAGGACCTGCTCTCCCAGCCTGGAGGAGGGCCCCTTGCCCTGAACCCCACAGGTGGCTGTTCCATACTGGACCGTACAGCAGATTGGCACAGACTGCGATGCCCGCGGTCACCAGCATGGCGCCCCCCTCGATGTGGTAGTCGCTGTGCAGCAGGCGGATGAAGGCCAGGTACAGGAGGATGCCCGTGACCATCCAGAGGGAGATCACAGAGGCCAAAGCCCCCAGAGTCTCTGCAGGCAGAGACAAGCTATCAGAGACCTGTCCGGGACCCTAGGAGGTGCCCTCCAGCAAGACTGGAGGGTCACCAGCTCATGCAGGAGCCATACCTGAGCGATGCCAGCCAAAGGTCATGGTGCGGGTGGCTGGACGGGTAGAGAGCCAGAGAGAGAAGAGGCTGCCCAGCATGCTGCCCACATCTGCCAGCAGGTGGGCTGCGTCGGTCATAATGGCCAGGCTGTGTGCTAAATACCCACCTGCAAGGGTAAAACAATGTACATTGCTGTATAGGCATGAAAATGGGGGGGGGGGGGCATACACCAAAATGTGAGCTGTGGTTTTTCACTGGTGATGGGATTACAGATAGTTTTTATTTTCTTCTTTTCACTCATCCACATTTCCTAGTTTTTCTACAATGGCACCTTAATAACAAGAACATAGGGCTTTGAAAAGAGCCGTTATCACAGAGTCCAGCCCTGGACCTCGCCCTGAACCTCCCCTGGTGCTGTCCTTCACTCCCTCCCGTTTCTGGATCCCTGGGCACCCAACTCCCAAGTGCCAGCCATCCCCCTCTTCTCTGCACCGCCACCCGCTGGCACATCCTGGGACTCTGAGTGGAGAGTGGCTTAGGCAGATGTCGGGATGATGTGGTTGGAGGAGCAGCTCTCCAACTTACCAACCACCTCCCCGGCCATAAAGGTGCAGCACACAGCGCAGGCGACGCATAGCTGCCTCTGCGCCCGCAGCCTCTCCGGGGTGAGGCCGGGCTGTGGCAGGGGGTCCCTGTGGCAGTGGAAAGTTGTCTCCTCAGCTGTGGACTCCATGGGCTCTGTGAAGAGACTGAGGTGGGCAACATGGTTCAACTGGGGCCTGGCTCACGGGCTAACTTGCTCCTCACTCTCAGATCCTGGATCCTGCGGACTGGCTCCAGCAGATGTGGCCCATCTCTCCTTCCCAAGGCCTGGTCACACCCGGGACCTTGTGGACAGAGGGCCACACGAGAGATGGGGCCTAGATGAACACTCAGATCACAGCCTTTCTCTTCTTTTCATACACATTTCCCAGCTGGAAAGCACCTCAGAGATGGTCTATTCCAGTGGTCGGCAAACCACAGCTCGCGAGCCACATGCAGCTCTTTGGCCCCTTGAGTGTGGCTCTTCCACAAAATACCACGTGTGGGCGCGCACGTACAGTGCGATTGAAACTTCGTGGCCCATGCGCAGAAGTGGGTTTTCGGAAAGGAGATAGACAAAACAAGTATACGAGACGAGTGTGGATGGGAGAGTTGGAAGGGGTCGACCTCAGCGAACGTACCTCAACCAGACTGAAGACGTTTTTAGCAAAGGCCAGCTTAGGAGTCCCCTGATTAAGTTAATAACAATGTACCTACCTATATAGTTTAAGTTTAAAAAACTTGGCTCTCAAAAGAAATTTCAATCGTTGTACTGTTGATATTTGGCTCTGTTGACTAATGAGTTTGCCGACCACTGGGCTAGTCTGACACCTATTCAAGAAAGTGGAAGTGTGAGGCATGCGTCGATTTGACTGCCCTGGAGCAGTCACTGTCTGCTCCTAAGGTTCCCGTGCAGATGCAAGAAAAACACGGTCCTGGTGCTCTGATCATGGCAGCCAGGACTGAACGGGGGACACAGCGAAAAAACACGGAGTTTTTACAGCTCAGACATTACCTTGGAAACACTTGAGCCTATTTTACTCCAAAGAAGAATCTAAAACATGAGCGTACAAGAGAAGTGTTGGAAAATTATTCCCCTAGACCAGCCGTGGGCAAGCTACGGCCCGCGGGCCGGATCCGGCCCGTTTGAAATGAATAAAACTATTGAAAAAAGAGACCGTACCCTTTTATGTAATGATGTTTACTTTGAATTTATATTAGTTCACACAAACACTCCATCCATGCCTTTGCTCCGGCCCTCCGGTCCAGTTTAAGAACCCATTGTGGCCCTCGAGTCAAAAAGTTTGCCCACCCCTGCCCTATACCCTTGCCTTCTAATTCCACTTTTAAAAGCTTAGGCCCTAGCCAGGTACTTGGTTAGAGCATCATTCTGATATGCCAAGGTTTCAGGTTCAATTCCGGGTCAGGGCACATTCAAAAATCAACCAACGAAAGCATACATAAGTGAAACAACAATTGATGCTTCTCTCTCTCTCTCTCTCAAATCAACTTAAAAAAAATAAAAGCTTGCCCTGGCTGGTGTGCTCAGTGGATAGAGCGTCGGACTAGGACCAACGGGTCCTGGTTTGATTCTGGTCAAGGGCACGTAGTACCTCAGGTGCAGGATCCTCCCCAGCCAGGCCCTGGTCGGGGCATGTGCAGCGTGCAGGAGGCAGCCAATCGGTGCGTTTCTCTCACATCGATATTTCTCTCTGTCTTTCCCTCTCTAAAAATCAATGGAAAAATATCCTCTAGTGAGGATTTAAAAATAAAAATTAAAAAAATGAAAGATTTAGGAGAGCGAGAGGACTTATGGGGGCCACACAGTTAGTGGTAGAGCTGCGACACACACCATTTCGTGATGAGAGGCACCGTAAGAAATACAAAATGAGCAAATCATCAAACGTAACCCTTCCTGGTCTCCGGGGGCTTTTGGTGGATAAGACAAATGTATACACAGGAGGTAGCTGTAGCCCTCAGAGCAGGTGAAGTGCTATCCGGGCTCAGATAGAGAGACACATAGATCCCAAAAGGGAAATCAGGTTAAAACGGAAGGAGGCACCACGAGAAGGGCCTTGAAAGATGGGGAGGCTTTTGATAAAGACGCAGCGCGCTTACCAGGCAGAGGCGATAGGAAGGGAAGGTCGTGTTTAAGTGTGTGGCAGGACTCAGCACATGATCCTGGCCTTCGTGCCTCCCTCCCAGACCCACCTCTTGTGCCTCCACTCCCAGATCCTTCACTTTCCTCTCCAGACATGCAGCTGAAGGGCAGCCCTTTAAGGGGGGAGTGGAATGTTGGGACCCAAAAAGTCCGAGGTTCCTGGCACAGAGAACGAATGGCCAGATTCCAGAGCAGGGTTGCCATGGGGAGGCGGTGTGCACGCTGCTGTGGCTGGCGTCGGCGGCAGTAGGAACACTGGCTCTGGAGTCTGCCGCACGTTAGCTGGACTTCAGTGTGACCACTTGCTGCATAGGCCTCCCCTGACAAACAAACGGGGCTGAGGGCCTCATCTGGGGATGCCAGGGACCGAGCTCAGGCTGACTGAGGTTTAAGTCCATGTGAGCCCAATTCTCACCCCCACTGCTGTCGATGCAGCCTGAACCCCAGTAAGAACAGAACCTTCCACAGAATGAAGGACCTCAATACAGTCCTAGAAACGCTCGCGGAAGTGTGACAAGAATGCCTAAGAGTGAACATGAAGGCTCCAGACAGAAACACGGTCACAGCAGTGAAGTGGCGAGGGTGCCTGGAGCCTTCAGGCTGAACTGAGGTGTGAGGGAAGAGGGGGGACCTTTGGTGTCTGCAGGGAAAATTCAAGTGCTGGCAGGTAGATTAATTCATTGGAATTTCCTTCCGAGACATAGCACCTGGATAGGTAGGATTCTAGGTGTGTTTCCAGAGGGGTTGGGGAGATGAGGGTGGCTTTCCAATCCATCCTCATTCAATGAGGTGTGCCAGGCAGCGTGCACATGCTGAAGCCCGGTCTCGCGGGAGAGACAGACGTGTCGCAAATGACCAACTAAGCAAGGGGAGGCCAGGGCCAGGAGGGCTGTGAACAAAGGACTCTGGAACACAGGGGAGGGAGAACTTGACAGAGGGAGAGATGGAGAAGATGAGACCGAGGTGGAGAAGGGGAAGCCAGACCCATGGAATGACAATGACAAGATATTCCGCTTGGAGTTTAAGTGTGAAGAGCCAGGGGAGGAAGAAGAGGAAAGTGGTGAACTCTAAGGGGCATAAAGGGAGAGACCCTGATTGATGGAGCACATCTTTCCTGAGCCCTGAGATGCCCTTGCTGATGGACCAGTTTGCAAGAAGAGAGGAGAGGAGAGCGAGGGATCCAGACCAGACCAGGCCAGAGGCTCCCCGTGCAGAATTTCAGAGGAGGGGTGGGGCGGGAGGGAAGAGCCTCGTTCAGAAAATACTGCAGGATTTGGTGACTAATGGTCAAGTGAGAATGGAGATGAGCAGGGAGTCAGGGATGTGGGTTTGAAGAGCAAACAGAGAGAGGCCGAGGGGCCTTCCGAGGGGCCTTGGGGCCGCGGTTCAGATGCGTTCCTGGCCCTGTAAGGCCCTGTAAGGCCCAGTGCGGCAGTCGTCAAGGTAGCCACCCATCAACAGGCTGCTCCCTTTTGTTCTGCAGGAATTGGGCCCTAAAGCGTCATTGTGGGTGTGGGTGTGGGTGTATGTAGGGGGTGCACGCTGTTTAGAGAGAAGGGAAGGCAGTTTTCTCTCCCTCGCCCTCTGAAACCCTCCACAGACAACAAATAATCCCGAGTGGGGTAGAGAGCTGTAGGGAGGGGAAAGGGTCTGAAGCAGAGACAAATGGGGAGGTGCGGGCCAGGGCCGCAGCCCCCCGCGTTGCCCAGGTCTGCGGTCCGCTCCCGCACGCCCCCACCCACCCCGGTGTGCAGCCCCGGCACAGAGAAAGGACCAGAAACACAGGGAGGCACCACCGCAGAGACAAAGGGAGCGGGGCTGGGGGGAAACAGAGAGGCAGGGGAAGGTGAGGAAAGAGACAAACGGACGGTCGGCCACCAGACAAAATGGCCAGCGGAGGTGACCACGGAGGACCTGGCTTGGCAGCTCAGAGAGACACGGCGGCCGGGCCGGCGGGACGCGGAGGCGGTTCTGCGGTTCTGCGGCCGCCCCCGGCCCGCTGTCCCGGCCGCGCGGCGCCTCATTTCACACCTCGCCGCCCCCGGCCCCGTCTGTGCCGAGCCGGGGAATACCCCCCGCCGCCCGGACCGCACCTGCTCCTGCCAAGCCGCCCCCTCGCTTCCCCGAGCCCGCCGCCCCCGGGGCCTGGGAGACCCGCCGGGAGCGGGCCCATCGCGGTCCGGGAGCCGGAGCCCCGCGCGCGGATGGGGGCCCGGCCTGCAGACGGGGCTCCCGCCGCCAGGGCCCCGAGCAATGCGGACATCGGGGCGCCGGCGCGGACTCGGTCCGACGGGGGCGGCGGCTCGCAGGGAAGCCAAACGCGGTCGGGGCGGCGGGGGGTCCGGGGCGTGGGGGGCGGGCCGGGCAGCCGTTTCGCGGGACCGGGAGGCAGAGGGAGGCTGCGGGGGCGCAGCGGGCTGCCTGCCGGGCGGCGGGGTCCCTGGGGCCGCAGAGGAGCGAGCTCGCGCCGCGAAGCCAAGGAGCCGCGGTGGGTGCGCGGGGGCCCGCCGCGCCGAGGCAGACAACGAGGGGGACGGGGGACGGGGCGGGAGGGGGGCCCGGCCGCCGGCTGGCCCGGGCGTCCTACCTCTTCAAGCGCAGGCCGCCCCCCGCGGCGTCGCGGTCCCGGGAGCTCACCAGGCGAGTCGTCTCCGAGCCCCCCGCGGCGGGAGCGGGCTCCATGTCCCCGCGGCCCGACCGTCCAGGCCCCGCGAGGGAGGGGAGGCGGGCCGCCCCGCGCCTAGTCCCAGCGCCCGCCGACCCCGGGCTCTCCGCGGGGCAGCGGGGCCACCAGAGGGGAGGGAACTGCGGCGACTGTGGCGCGGGGAGTCCGAACTGCGGCTCCCGCGGCCGCGGCAGCCCCGCCCCGCGTGGGGCGAGCTCCCCAAGCCCCGCCTCCGGGCGCCCCGCCTGCCTCCCCAGGCCTCAGCCCCGCCCCGCAGCCCCACCCCCAGATGCGGAGCCCCAGGGCCCGCACCGGAGCCGGGTCGGGGGGCGGGAGCCCTCGGCACCCCAGCCGGGTTCAGAGACGCCTAATTTCCATAGCCCCGCCCCTGAGTCTTAGCCCCGCCCCAAGTCCCGCCCACCGATTCCCGGCCTCTAGCGGGGTGGGGAGGGGGGTGTCTCCTGGAACAACCTTCATCCAGGTGACGCTGCCCCCTGTCAGCCGGCGCGCCGGCATCTCCGCTTCCGCCACCCGGTCCTCTCTGACCCCCGCCCCTACACGGCGGCGGAAACAGGTGCGGTCCAGTACCTGTCTCAAGAGAACCTGGAGGAGTGGGGTGAGCAGTGAGGCATCTGGGAGAGCTCCAAGGACTCCCGCCAGAAGCCACTCCGCGGAGGAAGCGGGGTCAGAAGTCGTGAGCTCACTCTGCTGCCAAGCACGGTACCGTCCATTACCGTTTATTTTTATGCAGAAACTTTGGATGACAAAAAGCTTCCTGCTCTCCTTCGATCTGTTCTTACCCCTCTTTTTCGGATGAGTAAACTGAGTCCCAGAGAAAGAAGAGTCCCAGCCGGTCCTGGAACCCGGGGCGCTGCACTGGCGACTGGAGAGAAGGCCGGTCCGGTCGCTCAGAATTCCGGAGCAGCTGAAGGAGGGGGGCGGGTGCGCCCTCCCTCGGGGGTCACAAGACGCGGTTCCTGGAGGGAGGCTGCGGGCAGCTTGCCAGCAGGTGCCTCCTTACCTCAAACCTGTAGCGCCTTCCGGGGCATTGCCTCCCTTGAACTGGGCCCGGGGAAAGGAGTGACTTACCGCAAAGTCGGTGGCCCACCTGGAGCTGAAGCCTCCAAGGCTCACTGCTCTCTGCCCTCACACCTGCTGTCGTGTGGGTTGAAAGGGGGGCGGTGACTGGATTGCGCACTCCAAGCTGCGACTCCGTTACCGTGGAGGGTCCGTAAGAGGAGGGGGAAGAGGGAAGCCCGCCTGGGGAAACGTGGAGGGCGGGAGTGGTTAGTAAGCCGTGGCAAGAAACCCATCAGCCGCACCCTGCAGAACGCACTGGGCTCCTGAATGTTGGGACTCTGTTATTCCAAACAATGAGACCACGTGTGCACTTCCAAAAACAAAAACAGAGCACGTGCCAGATAGAGTGGTTTGAAGTGATGGGGTTAATCCGGGAGGGCTTCGCGGAGGAGGTGAGGTTTGGACGGATTAGCTGGGCGGCGGGCTGGCTGTTCCTGCGGGGGAGAGTGCGGCTGGTGCTAAGGTTTTCGGGCGGCGTGCGCGTAGGGACCGTACCGCGCCGGGGAGCCGTGCGAAACGGAAGAACCGGAGGGTCTTTTGAGAGCCGCCTGCGCTTCACCTCCACCCACGCGGCGCCCAGCGGGCGCCCCCACCCCACTACCCGCCCAAAGCCCAGCCCCAAGCCCACGCACCGCTAGGGGGCAATCGAGGGGGTGGCGTTCTCCTTCCAACCTCCCCTGGAGGCGTGGGACCTCCGCTCCTTCCTTGAGTTACAGGGGCGCAAACTGGTGCGGCGGGAAAGGGAGCCACCAGCTAAGGTCACCTTGCTGTTCGCGTCAGAGCCGGCGTGCAACTAACTCGTGTTCCCGCCCGCCTTTGCCAGGGCCGCGGCTGGGCACGTCCCGCCTGGCGCCGTCGGTTTTCCAAGCTCCGCACCCGGCCTGGGGCTTCCCGGATTCCGAGAGAGGGACCTCCGCGCACCTACAGGGCTCCGATGCGGTAGCCCCGCCCCAAGTGGCTGGAGCGGGAGAGCCCGAGAATAGAAGGAACCGCTGGGCACGCCTCAGCTGATGACGACAGCAGGGACGCGGTAGTAACCACTACGGCTTCCTCCGGGATTTCCCTTCTCGGGCAGCCCCGGGCGCGACAGCAGCCCCGGGTACCGGGGATGGGTGGGTGGGTGGGTGGCGAGTGCGCAGACGCTGGCAGGTGACCGCCCCCGCTCCAGGGCGGTGATGGGGCAGGCGGGGAGGGAAAGGGGCGTTGGAGCAGATGGGTTGCTGGGCTGCCCTCCGCCGCGACTCCCTGGGTGTCGGGCCTTGGAACGTGCTGCCTCCGGAAGCCGGGACCACGGCGGGAGAATACTAACAGTTGCCTTTGATTGGAAATTTATGCAAGAAAAGCCTGGCTGCGAAACAGACTGCTTGCACCTGTTCCTCAAAGAGCCTTCAAGTGGCCGCATGAACGTCTTTGCAAAGCGTCCTCTTGATTGCCTGGTCTGAGGAAGGCATTCTGCGCTTAGGAGCTAGGGAAATTATGCAGCAGTGGGAAGCACAGCTTAGGGCTAGTGCCCTGAATGAACTGTAGTCTTGTAAGAACTATACATTTAACATTGATTGAACACATTTCCTGCTATGCACCTTCCTAGCATAGCTGGGGATTCCTGGTGAACAACCTAAGGCCTCCCCGGGAAGTGACATTGAAGCTGTTTCCTCCCCTCCTGGCTTTAACTTGATGGCAGGAGATTTCAGTTTTTGCAGTGGTTTGTTACTGATTTGCCCACATGCTCTTCTTGCCTGTCCTCAGACTTCCTTAAAATGAGTCCTTAAGCCACTCTTAGTCCCAAAGGCATGATGGAGGCCTGACCCTCTGCGTGTTTCCAGGAAAACAGGCCAATGGCAGTTTCCAGTGCAGAGAGGGTGGTGGAGCAGGACCAAGGGGACTTCAGGGGCATGCCCGGCTGGACCAGTTCAGAAGAGGAAAGCCCAGCGGTGAGGTCAGGATGTGGGCTGGCTAGAGACCTCAGGCAGACTGGGAATCCAAGCAAGTGGGTCAGGGTTAACACTTGAAAGCGCCAAGCCAGGGGGAAGGGTATGCACGGAGGCAACCTGTGTCCATCCTCTGTTCAGGTGTTACTTCCAGGCAGCCTTTCCCGACTCCCCCCAGCTGGGTTACGTGCTCCTACCTGGTGCTCTCAAGACCCACTGTGCTTATGTGATGGTAGCATTCAACACTTCTAAAGAAATCATTTGCGTGTCTGTCTCACTGGAGGTCAAGCCCCCTGAAGGCAGAACTTGTCTTTCTCATCACTGTGTCTCCAGCGCCCCCTACTGGCTGACACATCCCAGAAAAAGCCATCCCAGAAAGGATGGCTCTGCGTTGTCAGAGCGGAAGCCGGATGAAGGAAGCAGGGTTGTAGTTGGAGATGGGATGAGGGACAAGGGCAGCTTCAATGTCACTTCCCCAGGGAGGCCTCTCCTGGCCCCCAAACTACGCTAGTTCTCATGCTACACATTCTTCTCCCTCAGCACTTATACTGTAATTAAATTGTTTTTTGGGTAGAGCACCGACCTGCGGAACAAAGGGTCCCAGGTTCGATTCTAGTCAAAGGCACATACCTTGGTTGCAGGCTCCTCCCTGGCTCAGGCCCTGGTCGAGGCTCATGCAGGAGGCAACCAATCAATGTGTTTCTCACACATCAATGTTACTCTCTGTTTTTCCCTCTCTCTTCTACTCTCCCTAAAAATCAATGGGAAAATATCCCTGGGTAAGGATTACAAAAATAAAAAAAAAAAAAATTGTCATTTGGGAATTGTTTCAGGTCACTGTAGTCTGGTTTTCCTCCTACTTCACTGACTGCTGATTTTTCGCTTCCTTTGCTGGTTCCTCCTCATCTGCTCAGCCTTTCAATGTTGGGGCAGTCCAGGACCTGGTGCCCCTCTTCTCTTACCACCTCACTCCCTTGGCGATATCATCCAATCTCAAGGCTTAAATACTATCTAGAAACAGCAAGAAGCAATTGTTGTTGACGCTAGGTAATGGATACATGGGAATTGTACTATTATATTTTTGTATCTGTTTGAAATATTCTATTAAAAAGAAACTGCCCTAACTGGTTTGGCTCAGTGGATAGAGCGTCGGCCTGCGGACTCAAGGGTCCCAAGTTCGATTCCGGTCAAGGGCGTGTACCTTGGTTGCGGGCCCATACCCAGTGCAGGGTGTGCAGGAGGCAGCTGATCGAGGTTTCTCTCTCATCGATGTTTCTAACTCTCCTCCTCTCTGTAAAAAAGTCAATAAAAAATATTTTTAAAAGGGGAGAACCAAGATGGCAGCATAGGTTAACGCCGGAGTTTGCTGCTTTGAACAACTACTTCAAAAGTGAAACTAAAAGACGGAAGGGACATCACCCAGAACCACAGGAACGCTGGCTGAGTGGAAGTCCTACAACTAGGAGGAAAGAGAAACGCATACGGACACTCAGAGGAGGCGCAGTGCTGAAGTCAAATTCTGAGGTGCGGAGTGCGCGGTTGGCGTTTCCAATCGGGAGGGAGCCGAAGACTCTGAGCTCCAGATCCGGGCGAGTCTTTAGCGACCCAGACTCAAACGGGAGAAGCGGGACTGTCTGGCTTCGGTCAGAGCGAGTGCAGCTTTCTCTCTGAGCTTTGCAGCGGGTGCTGGGACTCAGAGAGGCAGAGCCCCTGGGGACAGGACTGAGAGCCGCCATAACTGCTCTCTCCGGCCCACCCTGTTGATCCTGTGCGACCCGCCCCGCCCTGCACACAGGCATTTGCCGGATAGCCTCAGGCAAACGCCAGATTAGCACCTCCCTAGAGGACAGAAGTTCTCTCACTGCTGACACAGCTGATTCTCATAGCCACCTGGCCTGGAGGTCAAACCCTCCCTGGTATTAGCTACAACAGTCAAGGTTTAATTATAAGACTTCGAACAAAGACCACTAGGGGGTGCACCAAGGAAGCATAACAAAATGCGGAGACAAAGAAACAGGACAAAATTGTCAATGGAAGATATAGAGTTCAGAACCACACTTTTAAGGTCTCTCAAGAACTGTTTAGAAGCCGCCGATAAACTTAATGAGATCTACAAGAAAACTAATGAGACCCTCGATCTTATATTGGGGAACCAACTAGAAATTAAGCATACACGGACTGAAATAACGAATATTATACAGACTCCCGACAGCAGACCAGAGGAGCGCAAGAATCAAGTCAATGATTTGAAATGC